CTTTTCCGATATGCATATCGGGTAAATAACGGGTCAATAAAGATATATTCCGTTATTTAACCTTTATTCATATATTCGACCTGTGGTGGTTGCTGAGATATCTTGTTCAAAGTTTTAAATATCTAACTAAATAGAGCCACGCCAAAACTATCTCAGCAACCACCTAATAAAATTCAATAAATTTTTTTTTTATTTTAATGATATAGTCAGTAGAATTAAAATAAAGAAATTTTTATCAAAATTCTATTATGTGGCTAGTGAAATATATTCAGTTTTAAAAACTAAATACTATAGAAGCTGCGCTATAATTATTTAAACTTTGAACGAAGATATCTCAGTGACAACTATTTTGATAAATATATATATTTTTTTTAATTATATTGATTCGTAGAATTGAGTAAAAAAAATTTTTATCGAATTCTATTAGGTAGTTGCTGATATATCTTTGTTCAAAGTTTGAATAAAATAGATGACCCTTGTGGTCAATCCAAACGTGAACTTTGAATACAATGTCATGATATTGACATAGGTCACGGGTCATAGTCGGACATTCGTTTGATTGGCTGATGTAAATCAATTGCCTGGGTAACTTATTTATACACTTTAAAGTACTTTTTGGGAACGTAACATTTCACTAATAAAAAATCACTGCAAAAGCCATTTTTCACTTCGAAAGAATGTTTATATTTACTATACAAAAATAATCAAAAATAATCAGTAACCCCGAGAACTTTATTTAGAAAACAAAGTATGCCTACCGTTTATTGAACCATATTGTAGAGTGAAGGTAACTGGCAACGTTTTCATCTAAAGCTATTTTATTATATTAGATTTAGATAAACTTTTACTTTTAACTATTTAATTTAAATAGGTACAAGCTCTTAGTAGTAGAAATCTGGGTTTAATATTTAAATTTGTTTAGTTCTTATAATGCGTTTGGGCTTGTCAACCATATATTAATAAGTTGTAGTTTATATATTGTACGTAGGTCTTGTATATAGATTCTTTAATAAATTTGGATTATTAGTAATAAATATCATATTTGCCTACTTTACGCATATCTATCTATTCTCTAAATATAAGTAATTAATTCTTCTGTGTATATTTATTAGTTTGTAAGCTTTTTTATTCGAAGGTTTGTTTCGTTTCTAGTATTGTAGTATTAATAAAATTATGTATTTTGATTGGTTAATTATCACAGACTATCACGGGTAGATCTACCAAATCTAACCAATCAGATGAATGTCTTACTATAAGATCACAAGTAATTACAACATCGATAAGATTATATATAAGATTCTTTTTTTAATAACAGCTTTTTACGATAGCGATAGTAATAGATTAAGCAAACACAAATAATACTTTTATTTTTGTAAGGGAAATACTACTTGGGCACTTCTGCTATAAAGACTTCGAAGTTAAGACTCTTTATTTCAGAAGAAAAAATCTTTATATATTTAATTTTACATATAACGGAATTCTAAGAATTCTACTTATTTTTGTTATTCTAATTATTCCTTGAAGTATTTTTCCCCTATTATTCTTCAGATACCAAGAATTCACCGAATACTAGGAATTCCGCAAAGTTTAAAAATTTGTACCCAGGTATAATTCAATTTTTTTAATTAGTGGAATATAATATACCTGGGCCATCTATATGGCCATTTACATGTATTAGAAATCTGTGTAAAGACTATCATTTGCAATCATAGCAGCCATTCTGCAGGGTATAGAATCATAGAGACTGATAATATAATTAATATCAATTTTTTTCTATTCTTCTTCTACCATTTTCTACAATTTATTTAGCTTTTCATTTTTTGTGGCTGGTTCTTGCTGCTGCTCTTCTAAACGCTCTTCTAGACATCTTTTTACCTCACTTCAAATATTTTCTATTAGGCTCAAATTAGGAGAATAAGGGGGCCACTTAAGAGTATTAATATTTTTTTGATTAATCTAGTCTTTTGTATTTGCTGCTCTGTGTTTTGGGTTCCCATCATATTGAAAAATAATATCTTTAAGCTCCAAGTTATGTTCGAGTAAGGTGCCAAAAAGATCTTTGGCTAGAATTACACGATAACTTTCATTATCCAGATGAGTTTTGATATAGCATATCTCACCAACACTACACGAAGTTATGCAACTCCAAACCATTATGCTTCCACCTCCAAATTTTTTGGTCTGATTAATATAAGCACATTCTAACTTATCTCTCTTTTTTCTCTAGCAAAATTTACGAAAATTAGACCCAAAAAGTACGAATTTGCTTTTATCAGAAAAAATAACCTTTTTCCAATCATCAGGAGTCTAGTTAATATGCTCTCTGGCAAAAGCAAGACATTCTAATCTGGTTTTTTCATCTATTGCAGGCTTTCTAGGTTTAATCCTAACTTTATACCCACACCTTTTTAGTGTATTTTGTATAGTTTCTACTGAAATACGTTTGCCTGTTTTAGCTACATACATTGAGTGAATCTTAACTGCTGTTGAGCCTTTTTCTGAAGATAATATATCAAGTACATCTTTTATATCATCAGGTGATAGAATTCGTAAATGTCCAAATTTTTCTCGATCTTTGACCTCTCCTGTTTCTTCTTCTCTTTTAGAAGTTTTAGATACTATTAAAGACTCAATACCAAATTTCATCCCTATTTCTTGTGTTGAAAAGTTCAACTCCCTCAATTGGATAATTCTTTCTTAGACTTCCACAAGTATTTCTTTTTTAGATATTTGTTTTCTTGTTACATTTTGTTTTAAATATTTTAGATTTAGTTTTTTAGATTTACCTATAAAAAAAATTTGTACTGTTATTGTAGGCATTGTCCAAAAAAATGTTTCATTTTTAATAAAAATTTTATAATGTCAAGTTGAAATATTAAACAGAAAAAGTGATGAAATTAAGAAAAGCAAGGGATTGCTGCTTTTATAATTTTATAATATTTTATATCAATAAATGGTCTGATTAAATTTATACAAATGAATGTATATAACTACTTTTTTGCTATTCCCTTATGTATCACATATGACTTTACAAATTGTTCATCTCTGCAATAATCAGATTATTTAAAAAATTGTTTTTAGTATCTATAGAGAATGATTAGAATTAGCTTATTTGCTTCTTAGTAACGTATTATGGTGTAGCCAAAATAAAATTTGTGAAAGCAGGTGAAGATTTTCAGCCTAAATTAGGTTGATACAGTAAGGGTAGTGACAGATATTACGTAATATTTTTTACTATACCCTCACCCCCTTCCTCCATGTAAAAAAATTTTGATTGGATATTATAAATTTATATATTTAACATAAGATGTTGGAGACCCCCTCTCCCCCTCAGAATATTATGTAATATCTGTCATTACCCTAATACTGGCCAACCAATTAATTATGTCATGGCACTTTTGATGATCTGATTGTATAATTTTGCAAGACCTAAAGATTATTCTCAAGATTGGATGATATTGTTACATGTTTTTAATAATAATATTGTTTTTCTGTATCATTTCAAACTATTCTAATTGGCTAAAAAAAATTATACATCTTAAATTTATTAAGATGGAGTAGAGTATTATGGCGCGGGTAGGTATTGTGGCGCACCGAAGTTTTTCAATAATATCTTGAAATACACTGATCAGAATTGAAAATTTTTAGTACTATTCGATTTGTCTTATCAAGGCGAATTGAATGGTATTAAATTCATTTTTATTCAAAGCACTAGAATTCAAGAAATAATCAAAAAATCATAAATTTACTAATATTTTGTTTCCCGACTTATAAGAATCTGATCCAACATAATTAATCAAGTTAGTACGTAACAATTACCTAATTTTACGTGTATACAACTATGCCGATTAAAGTAATGTATAGTAACTTATATTTAATTTCTTATCGAAAGTTCAGGATCAAGATGACAAAAAATTTTGTTATATATACTAAGTTCCTCATTTCCATGTAAATTATAACAGTCTTCATAAAATTTTTTAAAGCCAACATTAAATTTTTCAAATTTTTCTAATATAAAAAATAATTTAACAAATTTACACATTTCAAAACCTTTAATTTTAAATTGATATTTATTCTCTTGATCAAAAACATTACCTGCGGCTTTACTGAATTTTTTTTCTATTAAAAGAAGATACTCCATCTTAGCTAGATATTCAAAATAATAAATAACTTCAGCAAAATAAACAATAAAATCTTTAATTTGATTGTATTGGCCTATATGAGTATAATGAATGTCAATTGACTTGACGATTGTATCTATAAGGATGCATTTTAGAAAATACTATATAATGCTTCTTAATCTTTCATAAAGAGATGGGAGAACAAAGTTCATTTTTTCTTTAAATTCACTTGTAGTATAAGTGTTTTTTATTAAATCATTGCAAAGGTTTAGAATTGGATCGTCTATTTCTTTACCTTGCAAATCGAAATGATATGACATATTCAATATCACAAAATTTAATACTATGAATTTTAATATTGAATTACGAATCTTTAATGTTAAAACTTTCTAATAAGCATCATATAGAAAGTTATTTTATTAAATAATTTTGTTTTTTGTTTGAATTACAAATTTGGTTAAAATAATTAATTTTACAGATTTAGCTTAACTATAAATTTCACAATTCGGTCTAGCTTTATTTGTTAATACTTTATTTGTTTGAATAAATTATGATCATATTTGCAAACAAAAATTACAATCGCATATAAGAAAACAATCATAATTATGATCGTGATTACAAAAAAACTTACAATCACATAAAAAAATAATCACAATTGTGATCGTGATTGCAGACAAAAAATTACAATTACGACTGCAAACAAGATTACAATTGTGTTAAAAAACAACTATAGTTGCAATTGTAATTGAAAAAAAATCATAAAAAACCGTGGTTGCGGACAATCATAATTGTGATCATGATTGCAGACAATTACGATCATGATCGTAATGAATTACTTAAATTGGCTCTCAAGTACCCTACTTCTCGAGTTCCGGTACAAGGTAGTGAGAAAGAGCCCACTCAGCCAAAAAAACGAAAGACCCTTCCATTTTCCCGGCTTCTTACTAATGAAGAATCCTTAAAGGAACTAAAAGAAATAGACAAATTAGCAAAGAATAAAGCAGAACAAACAAAAAAAGGAAAAGAAGAAGCAGCCAAAAACATGCTAATCGTGAAGCAGAGAAAGCACGAAAAAAAGCTGAAAGTGAACAAAAAAAAGAACAGTTATGTAAAAAAAGAAAAACGGCTACGTAAAAATGATAATATTTGATATGTTATGTGAGATTGGTGATCTTTACTATATCCCGTAATTTCATAATATCCGACATGCGCCATAATACCCCACACTGAAAAAACATAGCAGTTTTTTAATTGGTTTAAAAGTTTAAATTTCGAAGGTTTTTTATAAGGTAACGGGAGGTATAATGGCGCACCTAAGAACAACTAATAATAAAATTTTCCAAGAGAGAGTTTATCACTTACAAAATTTATAAACTTGTCCTTCTACTAATGTACTTTAATTA